TTACTTAAATCCACCCAAAGATGTCTTAGAAAACAGTCTGGTGATGTGCTACTGAAAGATTGCAACTTGGAAATTCTATGGGACTTTTCTAGTCTGGACACATAGGGTTCCCATGAGCTGGAATAAACTGCAAGGGTACTAACAACAAGAAGATGCCATTTCTTAAGTCCTTGAGATTCCATTTTTCCTGCAGAGCCCTGAGGAACAGAAGCAGTCTCAGTGATTTACTACTTCTGAAAAACTACCGGAGGGTAGCTATTAGTCAGTTCCGACCTGAGAGTATAAAACAGCTACTACTTTGTTAGAAAGAGAAGTGCTCCTGCTCTGAATCAAAAGGTGGATATCGCCAGTCCCTTACAATTTCACCTCTCTTGGTTTAGATGTCTATTTTGTAAGGACTAATTTCATCCTTGCACTTCAGATTGACTGAAATTTCCTTTCACAATCACATTTTCTATTAAGCAAGGATAACAAAAACAATATGTAATTTATGTTTCCTCTTCAGAGGCACTATTGATTCTATTACAAATGATTTTTAATTTATATACCAATATGTAAATGCCATCTTGTAGGTGGCCTTGCACTGATAGAATTACTGATATATTACTTTTCTTTTTATCTACAATAGTTCCCCTAATACCATAGCTATTTAATGTGAAAATACTAATTTCTAAAGATTATGCCACAGTTTGTATTGATATTCTAATGATAGAAAATTGCAAATGCTTATTTTATAGGAAAAATTTTGCTGAACCATGCAACTCCTTACATTCAGTGCTTCTCCAAATATTGAAAAGAAAGCCATTACAACCAGAGTTGGTTAAACTATGATATTTGCCAAGATAATAACAGTTTGCTGTTTAGTTCTGCTTATTTATTCATAAGTTTTATTACCCCTTGGCTATGAAACTAGTAGTCGTTCCTCTACACTGACTCCATTAGCAAGCCTCCATCAGCCATCTCCACTGTGCCGTTCTCATTTGTGTAACCCAGGAAAATAGAGAATGACCGTAGACAGGCTGGGAGTATAAAATATAAAAAGCTCAAATATTTATCAAGTAATACAGTGTTTGGTAGCGCTCCCAGATTAAAACTGGTTTGCAAGCATGAGTGGCATCCGCTTTCTAAACCACATGCCTCTGGAAATTCTATGAACTTAGAGAAATGACGATAGTTAGAGAAAGGGTTCAGGTCTTTTGTTCATAGGGTCACTATGAGTCATGCTCTACTCGACGGCAATCAAGAACAACAATACAATCAACAATATTGTACTATGACAGTCTTGCACTTGGTTGAAAGTGCAGGAGTGGGAGGGGTTTATGTTTTGATGTCGTTACTAGGACGTTTATTGTGCAATCCCAATGCTTCTTTTAGAAGCACGAATGGCATGACTCTATCTCACATACTTGAGTATGCTATCAGGAGGGGCCAGTTTCCAGAGAAGAACATCATGCTTGGTGAAGTAGAAGGTCGATTAAAAGAGGAAGGCCTTCAACAGGATAGATTGACACAGTGATGGCAGCAAAAGGCTCAAGCATGTAGTGATTGTGAAGGTGGAACAACAGGCTGTTAAACGTGGGGACGCTTCTGTTGTACAGAGGGGCAAGTCTCACTGACTGGAGGGTGTCATGCAACAGCAGCAATAGCTGTGAAGTAACCTTAATAATGAATGCTGGACCTCAGGCCCAGAAGTCTTAGCCCATCAACATTTTCCCACACTTGATATCACAATGCTAATGCCTTTAGTAAACATGTACAACCATACTTTAAGTATGCAAGGATATAAAATAGAAAATAACACCTAAAATGAAAAAAGTATTCATGATAAAGATTAAAGACATTTGGTTTCTTTTTGTAAGCTAAATTGTATACATTTTTAGTTTTTTTTAATTTTATACATTTTTTTAATATCAATTTTAACTATAAAATGCAAAGTTTACACATTATTCATCATGCTTTGCTTCCTCTTCTGTTTCAAATAGTTTGCATGGTTTTAGTATTAAGGAATTATCAGATGTATCTTTAGTCAGAGAAGGGTGTTAATTTTTTTTAAGATCAGATATGGAGGTGACTTCCAGAGGTCACGCCTAGAAATTAAGAAGGGCTGTTGATTGTTTAGGGAGTTCGAGTGGTATAGTCTGTAGCCAGTTGCACTCCTAACCTGAGGCCACAACTCTCTGATGGTGTTCAGATCCACCAGTGGCTCCCAGGGAGAAATATGGGCAATCTCCTCCCATGTGATTTACACCCTTAAAAACCTACCAGAAGGTCAGCTGTGATCAGTTCTGACTTGATAGTAAGGAGTTGTTGTTCAGTATTTCATTATATAGGTGTAGTTGAAACAGCCATGTAGTTGGTGGTTTATAAATATCTATCTACTCTTTAAAAACTTACTTTTTTTTTCTTTTTTTTATTATTAAATTTTATTAGTTTTAATGAACATTTACAGGGATTTTGGGTTTTCATTCCTTCATTGCTGCACCATTCTCTCTACCCTCCTCCCCAGTTTGTTCTTCTTCCCCGCCATCCAAATGTCTGTTTTAATTGTCCAGTTGCCACAGTGCTTGTCAAAGTCAGTTCTGATTAATCTCCTTTGTCGGTGTGTCCTTTGCCATTCCCTATCACTCCTCCCTGAGAGAGACTTCACCCTGATTCATAAGGAAAAGGGGATGGTGTATTCTCTTAGCTACTTCCTGCTGAAAAGGGACGCTGTGGGTTTCAGGGTGAAGATCTTCTCTCACTACTCTAAAGGGCCCCTTTGGCAGTAGGAAACACATAGACTATTATGGAGATTGATTTTGGAATTTAGATGCACTCTTATTGATTGTGCTTGGTCGTACATGTTCATATCCTTGAAGATGTATCATGGGGGTGTTGCAACCTAGAAGACACAAATTTGACTAACAAGTTATAAGTACATGAGTCAAAAATTATGGAAAAGTAAAAGAAAGGATTCTTTCATTGTTTTACAAACTCTCCCCCAGGTCCCCTCCACCATGTAGCCCTCGCTCTAGACTCCTGTGATGACAGAAATACCTAGTCATATATCTCTTTTAAACATAAAAACATACTTTTTAACAACGGGAGCTCTGGTGGCCTACCAGTAAGAAGCTGTGCTGTGTTGCTCAAGGCACCTGGTTTGAATCCACCAGCTGCACCAGCGTCTCTACAGGAGAAAGATGGTCAATCTCCTCCCATGTCATTAACTGCCTCTCACCCACTGGAGGGTTGGCAATAGGATGTTTCCAACTCGAAGAAACACAGCAGCAACATAGCCATTCACACCTGTTCATATACTTTGCTATTTAAGTGTTTGAGGACAAAGCTGAGACAGAAAGGGCATATCCATAAGCTCTAGCTCCCTCGTAGTAGAACTTGGGATTTGAACATCATACGGGAATATTCTTTGGCTGAGGAGCAGGGTAGGTCTTGAGGACTTGAGTCCTAGAGGACTTGAACTAGTCTTTTGATCTCACTTCCACATTGCTAGTCAAGAAAGCAAGGTTCATGCTTTTAGTCTTGGGAGATGAGAAATCCAAATAACTGAATGCAACTTCTGCTTATAGTCACCATCTATTTTCATTCCAAGAAGGATTGGTACCCATTGACTGGTGTGTGTAGGTCTAAGTGAAACTTAATGACTTTGACCATTTAAAAATAAAGGCAATTGTCCTTCCAGAAAGCCTAGAAAATTCTACCAAAACAAAAGAATGGCATTGAATCTCTATGTCCCTGCTGCTGCTGCTATTGTTATTAATGTTAGGTGACATTGAGTCAAGTAGAACTAATAGAGACCCTATGAACAAAAGACTTGAACCCCGCTCTATCCTGTGCCAACCTCACACTTCCTGACACACAATAGCCCATTGCTGCAGTCACCATGTCAGTGCACTTGGATGAGGGTCTTTCTTTGTTTCACTGACTCTCCACACACATTGTTTTAAAAACTTGAGTCGTGCATTCCTAGCCTGAATTACTGAAAGAAAAATCTTTTCAAGGACAAATAAGTATTTAAGACACTCTGAGTAAGTTGTAGTACATGAAGTCTTTAAGCCCTTATTAATTAAAAGGTAATGTTAGATTTATTTTCAGTCATCAAGGCTGCTTACAGGGAGTTGGGATTTGCATATTTGCATTTGTCTTACCTGCGTGCCAGTTACTCAAAGCCTTTGGGGCCTAGAGGTAAGAGTGCCAAAAGTTAGATTACAGGAAGAGTTCTTGTTAAACTGGCTTGGTGTATTGTTGGAATTTGATGATAATATTAGTGGCATAGGTAGAAAAATTGAAACTGAGCATTCTGAAGGATAAAAATGACTACCGTGATAGGATTCCTCTGCCTCCCTCCCACAACTTTCAAAGCAACATAGCTTTCTTTATAGACACAAAAATTCACCATCTGATATAGCTGAATGAGTTTGATTCTAGGACATTGACTGGGAAAAGAGAAATATTTTCTATTTTCTTTTGTGATATTTTATGTATTATGTTAATATGATTTTGTAATAAAAAATATTGCTTTGGGAAATAAAATGAAGTACAGTGAAGGAAATAAAAAAAAAAAGACCCATGTCCTAATCAGTAAAAGATAGTCTCTGTTCATATTTATGAAGGTTTTATTATTCCCCCCCACCCCCCTGAGGGATTTGAGTTCCGGGACATAACACAGACTGTCTTGCTGTCAGGGCAACTACTGAATATATATGTATTTCTTTCCTCTTATTGTAATTGCTATTTATTTGATTTTTTTTTCCTTTTCTATGATGATGACATGCCTGTTTGGACTGAGTTTTGCCCCAAATAATTCACTGATCCCGGGCAGGGGAGTTTTCCTCTGCTTTCAGGTCACTGTTGAAGACAAGAAGGGCTGTACAGAAATTCCTCAACTGCCTTCTGTGGGGAAATGCAGCACAGCTCGTTAACCTTGCTTTTCCTCTGTTCTGTGTCTGCCCTTCCCTTTCCACTTGCCCTTGTTCGTCAATCTCTATTCTTCTCTGTTTCAGCAAAACTATCTCAGTCAAGGTAATTGATGATGAGGAGTATGAGAAAAACAAGACCTTCTTCCTTGAGATTGGAGAGCCCCGCCTGGTGGAGATGAGTGAGAAGAAAGGTGGGGGAGCTGCTCCAGGCCAGGCCGAGCCCTCAGCCGCTGCTGGCCTGTGCCTCCCTGGATGCTGCACTCTTCACAACATGACTGACAGGGCACACATCCCTCTGCCTGTGTAACAGGGCATCGACCTCTCCTCGCGCCTCAGCAGGCCAGGGACCACAACTAAGTTCATTAGATTGGCCATGTGAATTTTCAGTGCAGTCAATGAGGAACCTCCTTTCCAGAAGTGTCCCACAAAGGCTAGACAATTGCAAAATGAAGTCAACTTTCTGATTCCCTTCCTGTGACAGGGCACTGTCTGGCTTCTGATTTATACAGGACGAATTTGTGAAAGTGATGAGTCAGCAATTTTTAAAAAGCCAAAATAAAAACAAACGCGTCCAGCTGGCATGCCCTCAGATGCCCTTTTACATCGCTGCGGAGGTCCATGTGCTGCCGGTTCTCCCTCCATAACCATCACAGTAACATTCACCTTGGTGGACACCAAGAGCATGAGCGTGTCACTCCAACCATTTGTTTTGCCTTTGTCTTGTGTTCCCACAGGAAGATCATTACCATTAGAATATTTGACCGTGAGGAATATGAGAAAGAGTGCAGTTTCTCCCTTGTGCTTGAGGAACCAAAATGGATAAGAAGAGGAATGAAAGGTGTGAGAGTATACAAAGACATACCAGCGAGAAATTGTACTCTTCTCTCTCCGTGTCTCCCTACTCTCACACTTAACTCTCTCCTCTTCCTCACTTGCAAGAACTGTACTTCATTTCCTTTGAAGCTTTAGCAGTTTCATTTCCCTTCCCTAACTGACAAGTGCCCCAAGCAATGCCAATTCTCCTCAGGGAATGCAAACTAACCTTCATTTACCAGATTTGATAAATGTTGGAAGAGATTTCTGACCTTTAGAGGAGGCAACATAAAAGATTAGGCTGGGTGTATAGTTTTTCACTACTCAACAGTCATTCTAAAATGTGGGTTCCTGCACCAAATCTTCCCTGAAATGCTCATGATAAAGATTCCCTAATATCTATCAGTAGTTATAGGTGAAACTAATGGTAATTAACAGGACGTTTCTGAAGTCTCTAATAAGAGTGTTTTAAGAAACTCAGATTTTTAAAATAAATAAAATTTAATGAAACTTAGATTTTGAAAGAGGACTGTTATTGATATCTAGTGTTCATTTGACATATTTTTATATTATCAAATAATGACATTTAAAAGAGCTAATAAAAGATACAACTATAGTCATATTTTCAAAAAAAGGAGGAAATGATCCTTCAGTAGTAATTTAGCCTTTGAAAGGTTTCATTCAGTGGTAAGTTCTAAAATCTTTTTTTGATCATGTGATCCTTTTAGATCTAATGTTTTAAGGCATAGAAGAACAAAAAATAAAAAGCAGTATTCTTATAACTAGATTTTATTGATTCATAATTACATGTCCAAAAAGTATAGTTCTTAAAAGTAGGCAATGAGTGAATGGAAATCCAAAATCTCTGTAAATATTCATTAAAATTAGTAAAATAATTTATTTTAAAAAAGGAGACAGGGAAAACAAGTTTCTAACCCGATTCCAATATATTTTATCAATATTTGGTAAAGAAAGTTAGGGATTTTACATCCATTTTCTACATAATATTTTTAAGCACTTACTAAATTTTTCTATGATTCTCCTTTAATAGTGATACTTTTGTAAAAATTCTGTTCCTTTAACATATATGTCAAATGAACACTCCACATATTCATAGTTCTTATAAATTGCCCACAAAAAATTAGTAAGAAGTAGTTTAGGAAATGATTGAATAGGACACTGTGCGGGGGGGGGGGGTGAACCCCAACACCAAATATATTGCTACTTCTGTGTGTAAGAAACAAATATTGAGGAACAATTTATAGTTGACACATCATTTGGGAGAACCAATTCCTCATTTGTTAGAAATACCAGGATCGGACTAACTCTCACAAATTTATTGTCATCAAGTTGGAACTGACTCATAGCTGACACTCTAGTGGATTTTCAGTGGCTATAAATCTTTATGGGAGGAGATTGCTTATCTTTCTCCTGCAGAGCAGCTGGTGGATTTGAACTACTTGCCTCTGGATTGGCAGTGCAACTCCTTACCCACTAGGCCACCAGAGCTCAGAGACCAGCAGTAAAAAAATATGCATGCTTTAATCATGTGCAAAATGATACCAGAAGCATTTTGAGTGATAGAGAAGGTACACTGGAAATAATTTTACCGGAACCCAATTCATAAACGCCAATAGATGGAAGGAAAAAAGACATTTAGAAAATTGTGCTGATTTCTTACAACGATAAAGTCAAAATGCCTCCTTAGCAAACAGGAAAAAGCACTTTACTTCTAAACATAGTTCTCCAAAGGACTTTTATCTAAAGGAAGAGCATCTTGAATATGGATCTCTCAATTACTGTGTTAGTTAAATTTGCTGTCGCATAAAAACAAAATCAGATTCCTTGGTAGCAAAAGCTAGTGTTCACAGCCATCAAGTAGATTCTTGTCATTTTATGTCAAACTATTGACTTATCAAAACTGTCCTCTAATATGTTGTTAAACTGAGAAGTTGTCCAGCAAATGTAATTGTGACATTCCCATCTCTAACATATAATTGTGTATTTAGCCAGGTAGCTTTCCACCAAAATGAAACATATGGTCTTTTCAGTCTTAACAGCAAATAGCCAGAAAGTCACATTTGCATTGCTCCTCCCTGATCCATTTGCCTTGTTAGTTTTGTGGACTTGAACTTCCATGTCCACTGTAAGTATTTTGACTATCAGTTTACAATGTACAGAAAGTCAGATGAGAATCCATTGATAAACACTCATTCCTGAGACCTTTAGGCCTTAATATTAAAAAAAAAAAAAACAAAAAAAAAACCCAAAACATTTCTTAGTGACCAAAAGATTCAGAAAATATTGCCTCCAGTTTTCTCTTTTACAAAGAGAAAACATAATCTTAGGTCAAAATCTCCTTCCAGGTGCTGCAGTCAAAATGGGTTTTTCTTGTATTTTTTTATGTGTTACAATTGAAAGAAAGTTATGACAACTGAGATCCTGGCTTATTTAAGACTTGCAGATATTGGACTGATCAATTTCCATACAAATTTAATGAAGAAGACTACTCATATAAATAGATTTTAGAATATCTTCATAACATATTTCTACTATGTATACTAAATAAATATGTACATATTTTCATAAACATATACAATAGAACTCTTACTAAATATAAAAATAATATGTGTTTATGTGTGTATATATATATATGTGTATGTGTATACACACACACACACACACACACACAACACAGATATACATGTATACATAAAATCAGTCACAGTCATGTGAAAAAATTTGAGTAGTTGACTTGGAACTATTCTCAAGGGCACATTGCCTTGGGGTGCACCTATTTTTTAACAGTGGCTTCCTACCACTCTAATCAGACCTGCCTGGATTTCTTTCTGCTGATATTCCTCTTACTTTCATTATTCATCTGGTCTCTTATTCTGTGTTTGTCTTTGTCTGTTTCCTTCACAGCCCTGTTATTGAATGAGCTTGGTAAGCATTTCATTTCTTGCATTTCCTCTCCATTTTTCTAGGTTATTTTCCATTTCTGTCAGGTGATGCAGTAGCTTTCTGACTATTCTTTTATCTCTATTGATTTGCAAGTCAGATTATCATGTAAGACTTCATTTTTAGTAAAGACAAGTAATTTATATTACATGTTTAGTTTAAAGTTTAAAAACAATTGGCAATGTCTTAGGTATGCACAAGAATTAAACTTGTGCGTGCTATCAGTCTTAAAAGAATGATTAATGATTATACCATTGAACAGATGTTTTCATATTTTTCTTAAGTGTAAATATAGCTTGGCAAATTTTCAGAAGTTAGGTGGGTGGTTTAGCAGTCAGATATCAATAGGATTTATTATTGAGAATATAAGTTAACTAACTATAACTTTTTATTTTCTTTTTTTTTCAGGTGGCTTCACTATAACAGGTATGAATATTTTTCAAATTTAATGTGATTGAATCTTATTTTTTTACTGTCTGTTCTTATTTTGTGTTAATGCATTTTAAACAATCATTTCTCACTCTATTTTCTTTTGGAAATAAAAAGGAAAATGCCTCTATGGTAAGACTTTTCTAAAATTATTCCTCATTTTCCCCAGATACTCTTAAAAGGCAAACAAAAATCCTATTGTGTATTAACATTTAGTTGTGGTGCATGGTGTGCCCTTAGTGGTTTACACAGCTAATGTCTTACACATTAATGACATCTGTGTTTATTTTTCTAAACAAATCTGTGTGGAGAGCCTATAATTATTTCCATTTGACACTAATCAATTTACAGATTTTCCTATATAGCACTGATGATGTGCAGTTTGCCCAGCCAGATACTCCAGAGAATATAGAATAAACTAAACATATTGCTGGCCTCAGGGAAGTGTGGGAGTTGACATGCACTAGGGCTGTAGGGCCCAGACGCAGGGTCCTATTAAGGCCAGATCATAGGGTGAGGATACAACACTTCTGGTTCCCACATTCCACCAACCACCCTCAACCTATCTTTAGGGAGTTAGGTTTTAGCATTAATAACATCATCACAAGCAATATTCCCCCACTTGAAGGGCATGGCAAAGTGTTCTATAAAAGTTGAAATAATAATAAAAAAGTTAGAAATATTTACATTCAAAGTGCTGTTCAACCTGTGTTGATTACATTACGTAGCATAAATCAGAAGTGGTCTTCTTGAACACAGGAGAAAGATAGTGCCCTGCACCTTCCTCTCTCTTGACCCCTAATATTTTCAGACCCATCCATGCATGTTTATAAAAGAACATAAACATAAAAAGTAGCTCTGGTTCTTCGGAAGCTTTAGGATGGAGCTGTAATGGGCCAGCCTGCAGAGTAGTTTCCAGTTTGTTCTTTCATGTCAGTACTCTTGCGACTTTCTGAAAACTGGAGAAGTGGATACAAGTAATAAGAAGGAAATTTTTTTAAGTTCTGAATTTTAAAACATTACAATAGGGGTTGGGGATAACTTAAACCACTATAAGTGATAAATCCATGACCAGTCAGCTTTGCAGCAAGTTGCCCAAGGTGAACCTTTTGAATATGGGGTTCTTTGTGCTGATACACCCCTACCTTCATTATCCCCTCTAGTCTTTTGTTCTGTTTGTCTGTTTCCATCACAGCCCTGTTATTCAGTGAGCATGGTAGCATGGGCTGCTGCACTCCACCAGTCCTCTGACACAGCTCTGAATGACAAAATGATTTAAAATGCATAATTTCTCACCCCTCTTCTGAAGATTCAGAGATGTTAATCTGTGTACCACAAACCACCACCCAAGACTCAGAGCCAAACCCGCTGACTCCGAGCCCAGAGCTGTGATGCTCGTGCCAGGGCCAGCACTGTCTTTTTTCTTTCTCCTCAAGCCCCTCATTCCTCTGTTTTGAAGTGGCACGTAGAACCATTTCTAGTCACACACATCCTATATCTGTTAAATTTCATCAGCATGAATTCTAGTCAAAGTGGAAATGAAGGAAACCCCAAAGGGGAGGAACTAAGGTGCATAAACAGATTTTTCAAAAGAAATTATTTTTTCTGCCTCAAATGGTGTGAGGAGAGGCATGTTTGATCCCCAGAACTAATAAAAGATGATGCTAATAAAGATGCTATTGTTCCCAGTTAAAGAAATCATACCATACTCAAAATACTTCTTGAAAAGTACCCTAGCCGTACTATGCCCATCATGTAATAGATTAAGCACCTGACTTTTCAAAGAAGACAGATTATGAAAATTCTGATAGTTGAATGCACTTCTCACTCTGCTACAAAGGTTAAAACAAAACAAAAAGCCACAAAACACAGCCCCTTTAATTCATTTTGTAATTGAGGAAACTTAGTTGCAACTACAGACACAAACTATCTGCCAGAGCTGGCACTGAGCCCCAGGTCTCATGATGCCCAGGCACAGGGAGCTCTCTGCAAAAGCCAGCAGCAGGTAGAGCTAGCAGTCAGCTGAGCCGGGACTTCAATGAGAACGTTAGGCCTGGTTAATCCAGACAGTTGCTGTGACAATGACTTACTCTTGCAAAGCCTGCAAGTATAGGCACACTCCCATGCAAGCTGCCTAGGAAATAAAGAGTGTAAGCATGTCCCTAGATAGCATGCTGTTTGACTCTTAAAGAAACCTGTAACAAATAGGACAAAAGTTGTTGTTCCCATTTCACCATGGGAGGACTGTGTAGGCTATTGAGTTCTTCAAGTCTGTGTTATTGGCATTTTTATCCCATGAAGCTCGGGCATCTGGTTGATTTCTGTTCATTGCTCCATGCTGCCTATGAAAGCAGTGTTTTCAAGGATCTTGGGTCTCCATTTTGGGCACCTCTAGGAGTTTGCCTGCACCCCCATGAGGGCTGTGTAGCCCATTTCATGAAGTTTAGATTCATGAGCACTTTGTTCACTCTGCGGTGGGGATGACATGCCACCACTCAAACCCCAGACTAACTCTGCTTGCGATGTGTGCATCTGATGTGATGTCCAGCTTACTAATTCCACAGTGTGCTGACAAGCCAGTGCTCTCCATTCTGCTGATTTTCTGCCTGTCCTTTTGCTAGGCCAGCCTGTCTTCAGGAAAGTTCATGCTAGAGAACATCCGATTCCCTCCACTGTAATCCGCCTCACAGGTACTTGCATTTCTTCATGACCTTCAGATTCCAGAGTCGGATTAACTTGACGCTGACTACCTGAAAGTGTTCTTGATGTCTTTAAATATTAGAGTCACATATTTTTAGTGTGCACCCACCACCACCACACAACTTCCCCCCGCCCCCAAACATCGCTAAGCAATACAGTGGCTTCTCTGGTAGTGGAGAGAGAGGTGAGTTAGCAGTAACAGTAAAATCCACAAGGCAGAGCAAGAGGCATTGAGGAAAAAGCAGCAGGAACCACTAGTTGTTGCTGTTATGTGCCATTGAGTCTCTTGCGACTCATAGCGACCCTATGTACAAGAGCCCGAAACACCATTCTATCCTGCGCCAACCTCGCTGTCTCAAACAGACTCATTCGCACCACTCCACTCACAGAATCGATCCATCTCATTGAGGGTCTTCCTCTTCTGCGCCATCTCTCCACTCTCCCAAACATAATGTCCCTCTCTAAGGACCAGTCCCTCCTTGCAACATGCCCAAAAGTATATCAGATGAAGTTTCAGAATCCTCGACTCCAAGAAAAGTTAATTCCAAATACCTCTCCCACTCATGTCTCACTAAGGAGCTCTGGTGGCCTAGTGGTAAGAAGCTGCACTGCAATTCCAAGGGCATGTGGTCTGAACCCACCAGTTGCACTGTGGCAGACGCATGAGCAGCCTCCTCTCATGTGATTTACTGCCTCTGAAAACCTGCTGAAGGATCAGCTATAAATTGGTTCTGACTTGACAGCAAAACACATGGAGTCTCACTGTCTTCAGATTGCTTTCAATCTTGCTTCTTTAGCAGGTAGACATATCTCCTAATACTAAAGTTGTGTTGTGGTGGTGTTGTTTTCTTTTTGCTTGATTTTGGTTTTGTGTGTTTTTCTTTTTAAAAAAAAAAGCTGAACTACTGTTGCTTCTTTTGCCTGGTTTTCCTTCATCTTGGAAGCAAGGGATTAGCCCCAAGAGCAAAGATCATCTTTGAGGATTCTGTAGGGAAGATAAAGCAACATTTGTATGGTAATTAGGTGATAATATAGCTTTCCCAGACCTGCATCGTCAGGTTGCAGAGTCCCTGGGCAGTGTGGGTAGAGTCCACCCTCAGAGGAAGGGTCTAATGATCTGGTTCCAGAAACCCTGTGAAATGCAATTCTAATCTGACACACATGAAATGGCCATGATTTGGAGTCAGTTCAGCAGCAAGTGGTTGGACACCATCTTGCACGTAAGCCTCGATTGAGCACAGAATATTTACTATTTATTTGCCACCAGCCATCACTGACTATGGCAGTAGAAACACTTCTGTGTAACCCTGGAGGACTTTGCTCACCCTTACATCCCACATTCTGTGCAGTAATCACAGTACGCAGTCTTGAGCTGGTCCAGATTATGCCTCAGGGAAAATCAAGTACCAGTTTCCTTAAAGTGCTATTAGAGAGGCCAGCCAGTTGCTAAAAACTTGCAAAAGGCCTCTGCTTTTGGACTTCTAACCATAGTTCTAAGTGAATGGTCAAAATAGTCTTGGATGACATTGTCTCATATCTGACCTTTAAGTCTTCCAAATCCTACATCGTTCACAAAGGCTCAGACTCACCACAACTTTAAATATTAATGTCATGAGTTTATTAGGTGAGCATCTACATAATGAGACAGATGTGTGTGCTGCCTTGTTTTCTACAGAGAATCCCTGACCTCCTCCCTTCGACCTTCGACTCCTCCCCAGCAGTGATGGTGGTCCAAATGCAGCCAGGCCCAACAGCAGTGTTTTAAAAAAAAAATCCATTTAGAAAACTCTCTCCTATCCTAGATACATTTTAGCTTAGATTCTTGGCAGTTACAAAGAAAATCAATCACTCAACAGGGGAAAAGAGATCTTCCATCAGTGATTTATTTTCTCTCATGATTATTTTATGTCTTGCCAATATTGATTTTAACAGTGGCTGTTAACTATGTATTTTTTAATCTAAGCTGTGTTATTAAGTAATTTATTCCCAACGTTTCAATAAGATGGCTTATAAAATGTATATGTATTGAGAGAGAGAAAGAAAAAGAGAGAATTGAGAATTGATTTAATCTTCCTAGGAAACAAAACTAAAACTACAGTGTGTTATCACTCTGCACAGGTAAGAAAATGAAGCTGACTTTGAGCATAGTAAAGAGGCTTATTTGTTCCAGTGTGAAACATGAAAAGATAGCAGACACAATGTTGTTGTTGTGTGCCATTGAGTCAGAATCGACCCATAGCTGACCCTGGCAGATTTTCAGAGGCAGTTAACCTACTGGAGGAGCTGCCTATCCTTTTCTTGCCGAGCTGCTGGTGGGCTCAAACCGATTGCCTTCATTATTGCAGTGCAGCTTCTTGCCACTAAGCTCCACAGACAGAAGAGCCAAGAGCAAGCTCTTAAATAATATCTGTATTCTACAAAGGGTATCTAAAGACAGACCTTTAAAAAAAATAACCAAAAAAACCCCCTCGCACCAAATATAATACATCTTTCTTTTGTCATGCATCAATATTATTGCAGAGAAGTAATAATTAGGATTTTTCTTTCTGTAAGTTACATATAAATACATTTATCTCTTACATTTTCATGATTTAGTTAGGGAAAGGCAGCCCTGCCACTCCCATGATGCTGTCTATACATTTCTACTTTGACATCCTTTTGCTTGGAATGCCTCTCCTTACTGTACCACCTTCTTGCCATCCTTACCACCAGCTGTCACCTGGCAAGCAAGCCCCTGCACCTGACTGAAGAGCAAGTTCAAATACCTCCTCTTTTCTGACTTTTCCCCTGACCCTTTAGACAGTGTGGAGTGCTCACCAACCCTGGTCCCACCACCCTTACCACACAATACTGAAATTACCCACGTGTCTAAGTGTCTCTCTTCCCATGACACCAGAAGTTCCTGCAAGGTGACATATTGTAGGAGTGAGATGACATCTCTTAAATGTATACACAGAACAGATGAACGACTTTTCTAATATCCCACAGCAAATTAGAGAGTCGAGCAATGAGTCTCTGTGGAGCTTCTATTTTGTCCTATATGAGAAGCTTAATGGCACAACTATTAAGTTCTCAGCTACTGAACCAAATGTTTGATGTTTCTAATTCCCCCATCAACTCATCAGGAGAAACACAAGGTGGTCTTCTTCAGTGAAGATCACAGTCAAGAAACCAACATGAGGTAGTTCTACTCTGTCACACAAGGTGGCCGGAAGTAGAAACAGACTTTGAACACTTTGCATAGACAAGTGTGCCATACATTGTAAGGGGCTCTGGAGGAGACAGAGGCTGCACAGGAGCAGTTCAAATAGAGCTGAGCCATATTTTTCTGTCCCCAACAAGTTTACATGTGGTTGTCATTATTGTTTGTGCTGTTGAGTCCTCTCTAACTCAGATCCTCACATGTGCGGAGTAGAATTGCCCCACGGAGTTTGTATGACCGTGGCATTTCAGGAGCAGGTTACCGTTCCAAACTTCAACTTCTAACAGTTTGAACTCAAAGTCCAAACATTTAACTATTGGCGGCACCCAAGGAACATCCGGTTTACAAGTTGGAGATGGTACTTAAAAATAAAGTACATAGTAAGTGTCCTTTTGCATCACACACAATGAGTATTAAAGAATTAACTCAAGGTTAGGGTGGTCATTCCAATTAATTGTTGAAGCATTTATGTAAGAAGGAGCTTTAGCTGGAATTTTGAATTTGTTTCAATGAAGACCAGACTAAGCAGTAACATAAAAGTGTATTCGAGTTTAGGAGCAATGATATACCCACGAAAGAAACTAAGTACCTTGTTTTTCTTTAGATTGGTATGAAATCTGTTAAAACAGATTTTTCCTAAAGTTAGTCATTCTCATACATCCTTTAAACTTTTGCTTTGGCAATGTTCCTGCCATACTAATATATATTTAATGTAATTTACCTTTTTTTTACTTCGTTAATTTTAGGATGGAAACTTTGAGCCACTAACATTAGTGGAAATTCTTATCACTTGTCATAAATAGAAAGTAAGCTAGAAATTTTAGAATAAAAAAAGAAAAAGCTTTTAAATTCTAGCTTGACGTTCTAAATGATCTATGACTGAGAATTAATGTTCCTTTCTTAAAATGGTAGAAGCCCAAATGTTAGAAACTAGTTTTCAGATGTAGCAGCATCAAACCAAGCATTCCTTCTTGATATGAAAGACTGAAGGATGATTGAAAAGGGAATTACCTTTTCACTGGCTCTATGATTTTATTTCATTTGCTACTATGTTCATTTATTTAACACCATGTTCCAAGCCATTTCATTTTGTGAATTGCTGCCTGAAACAATGCCACCATATTGCCCTTCTTTTGTCATTTCTATCTTCTGCCTAAATTAGCTTGAGTCCCATTACAAGTAACTTGCCACTTGTAAATGAAACTACATTCTTATGGGAGTCCCCGTTTATAATTCAAATACAAATCCAAGTGGTACAATTCTATATTCTTTGAAAAAAATTCTTATTTGACATAAGTCTCAAACACATCCATGTCCATCCAAGGTTTAAAAAACAGACACTTGACACTGTAAAACTAGCAAAAACATTCTGGGTCAAGTATCAGAAATTGGTAAGAATCAAAATGCAGACACACACCTCACTGTATTGCATTTGACTTCATAGTACTCCACAACTGATATGTTTTGGGTTTTCTTGTTATTTTGTAAATTGAAGGTTTATGACAACCCAACAGCAAGCAAATCATTCCTTACTATTTCTCCAACAATGCGAGTTCACTTCATTTCTCTGGGTCACATTGTTTTAATTCTCACATTTCCACTCTTTTGTAATGCCATTGCACATTATGTAGAAATACAGAATAGTGTAGATATATACACTGCGGTTTATTTTAAAAAAAATATGATTCACTTTGTTGCTGTGGTCTGAATCTGGACTCTCATCACTCTGAGATGTTCCTGTGTGGTTAACTCCTTTATGGGACTTAATGGGACCTCAGCCTAGCTTTATGGCTCAATGCGCAAATTTTCCAGGACAAATCTTGGAAATTATAATCAGAACCCTTTGTCTTCCCTTGGAACACAAGTTCCTTTCCTAGTCTACTATTTAAAAACAAAACAAAACTACTTCTGTTGTTAAAATTTATCACCTGACATCTTCTTTGTGCCTCTGCTAGCATCCGGCACCTTCTGCTAAGTGTAGCCTCCCTTCTTTTTGGTCTTCATCTAATTCCTTGGTGCCCTGTGATCCCTAAGGAGAGGAAAGTAGATTTCCAAATATCTTTCTAGGAGGACACTTCCTGAATACATTCTGAAGGATTAATTGATAGGCTACATGGTGCTTTGCCTCAGCTAAGTTTTGGCACTTGGTGTTTAAAATGCTGGCAGTGCCTTGGGCCCATCTGCTTCCTGCCCTGGCAGTGAACAACTGGCCTATAAGCCTTTCTTGCAGCAGTGGTGAGAGACGACACGTGGAGCCCCTCTTAGCAGGACCCCTCAGCAAAGGGAAAACCAATGGAAGTGTGAACTCTTATAAAAACTGATGCCTACCTAAATCCAAAAGGAAAGCCGTTCTGTATGACTGCCGAGCCTGGCAACCCCTCCTGTTGTCTCCTCAATCCCTAGACTCCTGCAGCCAGCCCGTGTGAGAGCATCACAGCTGAGGTGTTTCTGTGGAGCAGACCCTTCCTCCTTGGAGACTTTTCTTGTTCAGCTTAACTCCAGGAAGAAGGGCCTCCTCTCACTCCAGGGGGAGTGGGGGGGTGGGCGGGTGGTCAGTGATTACAGGACTAGTCTTAGTCTTTCACAAGTTCATGGCCTTTTTAGAATTGGTTAAATCCTATAACCTTAATACAGAGAGGAACCAACTGTGAGCTTCCCCTCATTAAAGGACGCTTGGGTCTATTAACATTTTCTCTGCACCCACTCACCTCTCCTGGAGTGAGCTGTACATGGAGGTTGTGGAAATAATCACACTCACAGGGTGAGTCAGTATTCACTCCCCAAAGCCCTCACCTCACCCTCCCTGTTTACACTAAGATTAACATTGTCAAGAGTTTCCTAACACATCTCAGCTTTGTTCCAGAGACTGGAAACACATGCCTCTTCCCAAAACATGGAAGGACCATTCTGCTGCTTGACTTCAAACCGGGATTCTTGGCAAATCAGAATTGGCCTTCCACCATCCCTCTGTCTCTGTTGTCTCCTGAAAAAGGAGAGCAAATCGCAGTGTGGGTCTCCCCTATCCTTCAGGGTCAGGCCAACACTTTTCCTTGTTTTCCTTTGGTCACTTGTTGAAGGAATGCTTACAAACAGCCGCTGAACCTGGGTCACAGCAACAGCTGGCGCATCCCTCCACCCAGACTAAGTACAGACAGCGTTTTCTCAGTGATAGGCCCCTGAGAGGACTCCTTTCCTGAACTGCTTGTTGGCAGAAGCCATCAGCTTAGGTTTGGGACATTGTAATCACCTGCTGTCACTATGATGCGTTGCCAGATATGCTAATCTTCCGCTCAGTCCTCCTCCAGACATAAGATCACTCCCTAGGGCCTCTTAGGAGATCATTAGGACTTCCTCTCTCCTTGGCTTTCTTTTCACAGAATCCTGGAATTTCCCAAGAAAATTGGTCTCACTGCAAACTTTCTTGCCCTTGCCTTTCGCAGACGAATGTGATGACAAACAGCCCTTGACGAGCAAAGAGGAGGAAGAGAGGCGCATTGCGGAAATGGGGCGCCCCATCCTGGGGGAGCACACCAAGCTGGAAGTGATCATTGAGGAATCTTATGAGTTCAAGGTAGGCCTTACCTCCGCTTCTTAATGGATTAGCCTATGCTGCAAGATTCAGCTGGAAAGGCAGGCAGATGTCATTTCAAGAACTGGCTCTGGAGTTGAGGTCTTCTAGTTAGATTTGAAATAGAATTAGTGGAGAAACGAAAAGCTCTGTCAACCAAATGAGATCAGAACCGGCGCTGAGCAGTAGCATCCCACATGACCCAGAGGCAAAGGGTCCCCAAAGGTGATTCTAGCAGTTAAGCATGTACAGAAGGAAGCAGTCTGGGGGTAATAAAGGCAATACATCTGTCAGAACCAAAACATCCCCACTGCTGTGAAGTAGGAGGTGGTTGTTTTGTAAGGGGGTGGTTTAGCTGTCCTTAAAGAGCTTGATGAGCTCTTGTTTATATTTAGTTATCCTTCTCAGATCCTCGGACATTCAATCACGGGCATCAAACTGAAGGTGTAGTTCCTACAGGCAAGCTGATAAAACCGAATCAGATGATAAAGATGGTTTTCTTTTCAAAGTTGACAATGTGGGACTGGGATGAACATAAAACAGTGGGCTAAACATTCCTGTCCAGGCTTTGCTGCTCCCTGTGTTCCTGCACAGCCAGTGGCCAGCCTCACCAGTACAGCCCTGACATCTGAGAAGACTAAGTGGAGATGAACCGGGTCCCACAGGGTGATCCACAGAGGAAAGCCCTCCTCTCTTGCCTTCCAGAATTCCAAACCCAGGGCACAAAAATGGTCCCCTCTTCTATTTTTCAAAAAAAGCCCCTCCAACTGTTTGAAAACCAGAGTGAGGGCTCCAAAGCAGGAATCAGACCACCAACTAAGCAGGCTCCGTATTTCATCTAGATGCCCGTGGTGGTGGTTGAACCCATTAATTATGCGTTGTAATTCAGTTCACAATTGAGGTTCCTGGTGGGAGATAGGTACAAAGAAAAATGCTTTTGCCATTAAAATGGGATTCTTCAAAGATAAAAATACAACTAAACTTATTTTAGGTAATGGAGGATCTCTCTAACTGTTCCTGCCAGTAATCTCCCTCGGGAAGACAGAGCAGGGCTAACCTGGGTACTCACATCTCCGGGAAGATCAATCGTTCAGAGTCCACATTTTATTTGCTGCTGGAGCTGGCTCCACACACAATGACTAGCACACACATTAGCTCCCTATAAGCACAGACACTAGAACCACAGAAGGCCTGTCATTGAGGATTGAGGACCAACCTGAAGATCTCTTATTCAGGTGTGTCTGAGCTCCCTCAGCCCCCCCCCCCCCCCCCACCACCACTTCTGCTGGAATCTATTGACCTCATGGGTGTCACTCTCTGCAGCGGTTTCTTTGGCTTGGCATTTCTGGAGGACATTTGAACGCCACGCCTCCCAGATCTCATGAGGAAATGTGTGTTCTCTCCTTTAAGGGATGATCTCTAACTTACTTGTCACATGCCCTCTGACTCGGAGGAGCAGCCGTGGTCGTGGCTTTCCGAGTGATCTTGGACTGGGTAGAATAGTTCTGTCTTTCAGACAGCAAAAGCTCCCTCTAGTAACCATTCCAAGGATTTGAGCATTTGAAAGTCTCCCCGATCTCTGTCTGAGCCCAATTCTAGCAACATTTCTCTTCCTAGAATACCTTACTTTGACCATTTTCTCTCAGCTCCTCATAGACGATCAGCACAGCAATCCTTGAAACATAAAGAACACTATGGGGCATGGGTCTAAGTTTCTTTATGTGTGAATTCTAGTATTGTTATCTTAAGAAGTTTATTTTTCTGGAATGTAGTTATTTTATTAAACTTGTTCAGACCTCCCAGAATTGTGTCAGAAACTCTTATTTGAAAGGTACTTCATTCTGCTTTGCCCAGCATTCCTGTGTACCATGCGGTGAATAGGAGCATGTCTTGATTAACACCAAAGGACTCTGATGGTACAGTGGTTAAAACATTTGTCAGCTAACCTTGAGGTCACCTGTTAAACCCACCAGTTCCTTGATTCTGCATTGGTTTATGACCTTGGGAACCCGATAGAGCAGTTCTGTTTGAACCTCTGTGCTTACTCTGAGTCCACGTCCTCTCCACCACAGCAATGGGTGGGCTTAAAACACCTTTTACTGTTTTGTTTTGTTGTAAGTGCTGTCAAGTTGAGCACGACTCATAACGACCCTATGAACAAAAAACCTGAACCCTGTTATCTAACTTTCGTCATTTCCCTGTGTTCATAGAGTTACCAGAGGCATGTGGTTTAGGAAGTAGATACCACTCCTGCTTCCAAACCTGAATCAATCTGGGATCTCCTCTAAACATTGTCCAAAGATGGGTAACCATTATGTTTGACACACCAGTGGCACTGCACTCAGCATCCCAATAACTCCAAGCTACTTCAGCACAGCGAATTGACAGATCAGTGCTGTACCACTTAGAAGAATGTTCAACCGAAACACAATTATCACCCCTATTGCCTTTTAAATACAACGCCTGCCTAAAAGGACCTGGTTGACTCTAAACCAAGAGGCTTCCAGCCCACAGCTCATTGTTAGCTAAATCCAGCAAATTCAATCAGCTCACACCCAATTGTGAACAAGGGAAAAAAACCAACACCCAAGCAATCCACATCTGACCCACACCAAGACAAGAGAAGCCATCTTCCAGAATCTAACTGCTTCACACGTGAGCCTCCAAGCAATTAAATACTAGGAAGAACCATGTACTATAATCCTCCAGGGTTAACATGAACTAAAGTTTAACATACAATACAATATAGTAGTGCTTTTAGGTTTTATACACTATGTTAGTGCATGTAAGTTTGTTTTTGTTAGTGGCCATCTAGTGGACCTCAGCTAAGAGCATTCCTACAGAAAACACATAGAAACCTTGCATTTTCCTACGTAATCCTTAAAAACTCAGTCATGCTCAGTTTACATTCAAATCTTGTTTTTTTATGAAAACACAGTCAGTTCTGCGTTCCATTGCTAGATCTGTCCATCTCCTCCACTGTTTATCTCCCAAGAGGTGAGATGCCCTATCTTGGTTCAGCCCCAAGCTTTCTTTGGAGTGTCCTGCTCCATGTTTCTTTGACATCTTTGATAGCTTCTGCACAGAACTTTGAACTGGTATGAACCAGTATACTTGAGATGATATGACTGAATTAGAAAAGACAGATGCTAGTCATGATTCCAGGAGTAGTGATCAAAAGAGAATGATTTTGAAAATATAAGGAAGATCAGTTTTAAAAAAGTGTCCTTAGTTCTAGTGTATCTTCTCACTGCTTTATGCTGGTGCCTGTGGCTCTTCTGGAACAAACACTTGACACTCCTGGTTTTGTCTTTGACCATTCACTCAAGACCCCAGGGTTACATATCTTGATGACTCTGCTTTAGCAAATAATGTGCTTTCTCTTGAACCATAGTCATTTAGGTGCTCGACACTGATCATGTACAGATTCTGACCTACCACCAATAATACATGTTTTCTGCCCCTTTGCGATTAGTGGGAATTCGAAGAGGCTCTGACAGTAAGTGTGGCTGTTTGGTAGACTAGTCGATGTGGTAGTCTTTCTGGGAAGAACGACCCTGATGTTCTGGAAATGACCCTGCACCCTGTAGTCTCTGTGGCGTGTGGTAGTGCTTTGGGTGCATCTGCTTTCTTAGTTTCCTTGTCTTGGCTTGGCTGCTCTTGTTGTCATATTAAGTGACTTTTAGAAAGCTAGAGAGTGCTAATTGTATAAAACCAAGTGCTTAAAAATGAAGATCTAAGGAAAATGAGAGGCTTGCAGCACAGTGGCAGTAGACAGGGGGGAAATTCAGCGCAATGTGCTCTAAAACATAAGAATCGACCTTTCTTGTCTTATCTGCAGTAGAATTAGGGTGCTAACAGAATTCTCCGGCAGCCACGAGGCCAACAACATTAGCAGCCTAAGAAAAATCCATTTCTTGGCAATCGTTCAGTAACCTAGATCTGCTGTCTTATTTCATTTCGTACACAAACGAAAGTACAATGGAGATTTTGGTACCTCAACCTGTCTGCCATTTCTCGTTTTCAGAGCTGTACAAGGCAGAGCAGGGCATATATTAATTCAGTTGCAAACAGCACGCTCCTGAAGTCAGGAGCCAGGTAAGTTCCAAAAGCATTCAAGAGGAAGGGATGGCTGGGTTTTTGCAACATCCCTTATTTTAAACATGAGGCTACTCTTCATTAGCCATTAGGCATTGTATTTGCTACTGAGAAGTTTCCATTTCAGAATGTTTCCAACAAAGGACTTTGCTTGTTTGCATAATCATAACCGTGTTTGATGTCAATATTGTTGTTCTGAGCCTAACATCTGCTACCTTTTATATAACTCTGGGGTTTAAAAATCAACAATGTTTTAGATGTCCTGAGGCCTTAACAAACCCAGCAGTTATTATCTTACTCTTCTAAACCTTTCTAGAGCACCGTGGACAAACTCATTAAGAAGACAAACCTAGCCCTTGTGGTTGGAACAAACAGCTGGAGAGAGCAATTTATTGAAGCAATCACTGTCAGCGCTGGTGAGTGCCTTTCTCTGCATGTTACAAATTATTATGGCTCATTCTGAGCTTAGTTTTACTAATGTGACCACTTGTTCTGTGATAAAGCACTGAAGGAGTTCCATGGAAAAAAATAAAGATATTTGTAGTGTATATGCACATTTTAGATCTTAACACAAACTATCTAGCAAATGTCTTTGAGCACGATGTTTGTCTCCATCAATGTTGTCTTCCTTTCTGGAAGCAGACAAGATAAGTTTAGTGTCTATTGTGTATCTAACTTACTGATGGCCAATGACAAGATTTTGCCTGGAAAATTCTCGGAAAGCAGCATGAAATGGCCAAGGGAAGGTCAGAGGAAGCCACAGAATCATAGGTGGAAAAGGATGACATTAAGACTAGTTACCACAACCATCTGCATCATTTTACACTCTCTTCAACAATGTTTAACAAATTAGTGTTTGTACTGGCTGTAGAAATGGAAATAGAATCACATTCTGTTTATACCACTACAAGCAAAGTACAGAGTTTTATTTAGGAAAAGCCTACAAAATGGAGTGTTTTTCAAACTCTCCAGAGTCAGAATTGTAGGAAATTAAATACAGAAAGAAGTGTTCCCTTCCTGCATGTCCAAGCTTTCTCCACTCTCTGTGTGATTATGTAGAGAAAAGTCAACCCTCAAAGATTCATGAAAGCATTACTGTCATGGGGTGTTTCTTTTTTTCAGATCTTTGCTTAACTTGTACTGATACTCCCCTCACTTGTTCATTTTCCATTGTAACAGCTAGTGAACAAAGCTAGAGCATTCAGAGATTCCCAAACAGTAAAATATGGAAAAAGCATCATGAGCAGTTTGCCCATGACTTCTAGCACAACGACCTCTTTCCAATCTGCCACAGGATATAATTTGACAAATTTCCCAAGTGCAGTGGGAATAGATGGAGTGTGTATGTGGAATTATGTATCTGCTTATCATTAGTGCTGTTTATAGTCATGCTATGGTTTATTGCAATTGAATATATAATGGAAATGTATGAACATTAGATTGTGGTTAATTGCTTAGGAAAGTGGATTTGAAATTTACACTTAACTCTAATAGGGGAAGGGGAAAATTCCTGCATATGGTTGGTATTTTTCCTATAAATCTGAGATTAACATCTGAGGCACAAGTTATACTCCTTCTACACCAGAATAAAGTAAAGGCCAAAGATAGCTCAAATAAGAAACTGCTGATGAGTCCAAGAGTAGGAACGTTAGAAATGTGCCAAATTGCTTTATGAGCTTTGACAGATCCCAATTGAGCAGTAAAGTCAGTGTAATCCTCCGTGAACTGTTCCTAGTTGTTTCCAGGTTTTCTCTGGGTGCAGTTGTGTGAGCTCATGTGCAGTGGTCACATGGTAGCCATCATGTCCTCATTTTTCAATATGTCAGCCATTGTTTTTGGTGCTGAGATATGACAATAACAAAATAACAAATAGCCATGGCTGCAGATGACACAGCCCTGCTTGCTAAAACTGAGGAGGACCTCATGCACTTGCTGCTGAGGGTCAGGGACTACAGCCTTCAATATAGATTGAGGCTCAATGTCAAGAAGACAAAGATTCTCACCACTGGACCAATTGGCAGCATCAGGATGGATGGTGAGGAGATTGAGATTGTTCACAGCTTTAGTCTGCTTGGCTCCACAATCAACACTCTCAGCACCAGCAGCCAGGAAATTAAAAGACGTATTGCGATGGGAAAGTCGGCTGTTAGGGACCTCTCTAAAGCAATGGTGTGTCTCTGGAGACTAAGGTGTGTCTGGTAAAGCCATTGCCTTTGCAATCACTTGGTATGTGTTACAGAGCTGAAAAATGACCAGGGAGGATAGAAGGAGAATTGATGCTTTTGAGCTTTGGTGTTGGAGAAGAGTGCTGAGGATACCATGGACTGCTAAGAAAACAAACAGTTTCATCCTGGAGAGGGTTAAACCAGACTGCTCCTTGGAAGCAAGGATTCTGAGACTTCATCTGACATACTTTGATCATGTTGTAAAGAGGGACCCGTCTTTGGAGAAGGACGTCATGCTTTGGAGGGTGGAGGGCAGGCGCAGGAGGGGAAGGCCCTCTGGGAGGTAGATTGATTTGGTGACTGAGGCAATCGGGATGAGTGTGTCGGAGACAATGAGATTGGCATAGGACAGAGCAGAGTCTAATGCTGTTGTACATAGGGTCGCTATGAGTTGCAAGCGACACGACGGCACATAACAACAACAATGTGGAATTGGAACTCCGTGTGTCTGGATGTTGATGATCCTCGTCACAGAGAACTGACAAGCGTTGGAATTGTTGTTGCTGTTGTTGTGTGCTGCAAAGTTAGAAGCAACTCATAGCTGACCCTCCAGCGGGTTTTCAGAGACAGTTAATCATGCGGGAGGACATTGTCCAACCTTCTCCTGTGGAGCAGCTGATAGATATGAACTGTGTGCCTTTGGGATTGCAGTGGAGCTCTACAGTTAAAGATAAAGTAGCCAAGATAGCACTGTTAGTAGACATTAATGCCAGATTTGCTTTTCTAGAACTACAGTGGTTTTTTATTGGTCACTTCGCATATTTTTGCAACCCATGATCAAACCTTCGCAAAAATGTACGGCCATTGCATGGCAGTGGAAAAAACATAGTTTGGGACAACTAGCCAGATGATGTGGGAGAAGGATAGGCAGTCTCTTCCTGTGTGACTAACTGTCTCTGAAAACCTGCCGGAAGGCCAGCTATGGGTCAGTTCCAACGCAACATTACACAACAACAAGCCAGATTACGTCACTGTCAAAGATAAAGTCATGTAATTGATTCTATTTAAGAAAACGTACAGAAAAACATCTATTAAAATGATAATATTTCTTACTCCACCAAAAACAAATGGAAGCTCAAGGTCTAAATCCTAATGGGAGCAGGACATTCTGCCCGTTCTTTATCCCATGGAGTCACTGGATAGCAGTCCAGCATGTCACCTATATTTTTTATATTAAGAAATCACCAATTGTCATCATGACAGATCCAACTACATACTACCTCATACATGCTAGAGTAGAAGTGTGTGCCACAGATTTTTTAGGGACAGTTTCTATTTCTATTTTTTCCATTTCTGTTTTGTTTTGCTGGGGAGAAAGTAGAGATAGTGGACTATTTGCCTATTCTACAGTCTTTGCATGTCTAATTTAATGGCTTTAGCTACCTTTACCATGTGCCTTAGCCATCACCATTCACCATCCCCAGTGGCTGAGTTTCGGAAGTAGATCACCCAACCTTTTCTTTCAAGATGCCCTGAGAGGTTAATCCTTCAACTTATAGTTAGTAGCTGAGGGCATTAACACTTTGTATTACTCAGGGACTCTTTCCTATTTGTTACATGAATCTTTACACTCCCAAAATCTCATGGTCTAGGTATGGTTATTATTATCTTATATCTATAGTATCTATAGCATAGATACTATATCTATAGTAACTAAATGACTCTGAAGCATAGTTCAGAGTTCTAATTTATCAAGAATCAGTCCAGCTAATTCCATCTAATGCTCCTCCTCCACCTTCTTCCTTCTCCTCCTTTTCTCTCTTTTTCTTTTTCTTTCTTTCTTTCTTTCTTTCTTTCTTTCTTTCTTTCTTTCTTTCTTTCTTTCTTTCTTTCTTTTCTTTCTTTCTTTCTTTCTTTCTTCTTTTCTTTCTCCTCCTTCTTCTTCTTCTTCTTCTTCTTCTTCTTCTTCTTCTTCTTCTTCTTCTTCTTCTTCTCCTCCTCCTCCT